GTGCGTTGCCGCTGCTTCCTATTTGTTTTTGTTTTTGTTTTTTTTTTGTCACATATTTGGTTTTCGGTGTCGGAAAATAACTACTCACATTTTGCCTACGGGTAAAACAGCTCGTATAAATGCAGTTATTATTCATTTTATGACAAATTTCCAGGGCATTTTCATGGGAGTAAGAAGCAGCTCACACTGGGGCACACAAATGCAGCACTGACATGTGCTTTCATACCATGCATGTGTACATTCGGGTGATCCACAAATGCATGTGAAAAAAGTAGAGACCGAATTTTAAAGCACTAACTACCTTGGATTATTTTATATCGAAAAAATGTACACCTGTTTTTNTTATATGGCTATACATTTATTATTTTTCGTGAAAATGGTATAGAATTCCTAAAAATCAATATTTTGTTTCTCTTCAGGTGACTTCCGATAATAATACGCAATTGCTTATTTTAAAACTTTTTAATACAAGCAACTTATTATGGGTCTCCAAATTGCGCTTTTTCTGGTTTTAGTGAACTTCTTAAAAAACACTTAATACCAAAAAATGATTAAATAAGCAATTGGGCATTATTAGTGGAAGTCTCCTGAAGAGAAAGAAAGTTTTCAAATCGAAAAATATAGGTTGTAACGAATTTTTATTTTTTTTATTTTACATAATTGTTTCGATATAGAACAATCCGAGGGGCTAAGGGAATTAAAATTTCGACTTTACTCTTTTTTGCTACCCTAATGTACATAAATACGAATATAAAAATGTCCATACATATATGTATGTATGCAGGGAAATGCAACTGTATGCGCATAGCTGAAAGCTGCGTGATATTAACGGATGTGCACGTATGCCTTTGAAGTCGGTTGCCAACACTATCGGCTGAACGTGCATACATATGTACATATGTACCTATGTAAATACAAAAATAGGTATAGATTTTACACATTTGTTAAACACACCTACATAGTGTTTACTGGCTCACATCCATTCCTTCGTATGTTTTTCTTTTAGATATTTTAAATGCCATCGTCCCTTGAGTATTTTTCATAAACCTACATGTTTTTTTATTTTACACACATATGCGTCGACTCTTGTATAAGCATGCATATTTATAGACGCGTATTTGTATTCTTGTATTTATGCATTTGTATTTATTTTCATTTGTGGTGCTGTTCATATGCAAAAATTGTTTGCGCAAATCATAACAACGAAATGACAACACAACAGTGGCAGCTCGAAAACAAATAAAAAAAATAAATAAACAATAGATGCTCATACTGCTACTGATGCAATATACCTATGTATGTGCACTTACATATGTATAGTATATTCGAGTGTATTTATTGCAAGTATCTAGTATAAACATATCTTAATAGTATAGAGGACTACAATTTCAAAACTCAAGTTTTTATAAATTTCATTCATCACAAGTAGTAAGCTTGATAAGGAGAAATTTTCAGTTTAATTACTAAATTTTATGAAAAAAAAATCAATTTTTTTGACCAGTTACGACGTGATGAACATTTGCGCCACTTTAAAGCACATATGTAGCTGTTTTTATACAAGATTTGAATTTGCTTATGGCTGTATGGAATCGTATGCTATTCGTACATAATACTGCCCTTAGGCCTAGATGCAGTGCATAGAAGTTGAGGACCCGATTAATTAATTGCCCAGTGCTCCTATAATGTAATGAAAANATGGCTGTATGGAATCGTATGCTATTCGTACATAATACTGCCCTTAGGCCTAGATGCAGTGCATAGAAGTTGAGGACCCGATTAATTAATTGCCCAGTGCTCCTATAATGTAATGAAAAATGGTCAGAAAAGTTTTTATTGGATTTCTGTAATAAAAATTAGTGCAAAGTGGTGAGTGGACGCGTATTTTGTACAAACCATGAAATTGCCAGGATGGGAACTGTTTTTTCGGTCAGCGTATTAACTTGACTCCATGCACTTTTACAATGTTTCGATGGGTGATATCCAATGAAAGCTCGTATATACAAGAAATAATTTCATTTGTATATATTATGGAAATTTGCATAAAATACTAAATTGCATAAAAATGTAAAACTAACTATTTATCGATATAGATTATCATAAAACGATTGGAAATTTGTATTGGTTTAACGTTTGAAGGCTGTTGTGTTTAGATTGATAAATTTTTTTGAACCGTCGTGCAATAGCTCCGTTTCGTATTGCTGTAATAACAGAGCTCGTTTTTGTGGCAAAGTTTCCAGCATTCGGTATGACGCAACTTGAATTTGACTTTACCATTTACATAAAGCAATCCTCTGATACTGCTTACTGGTGCTTCCCCAGGTTCTTTACCTGGCCTTATAGTTGTAAATTAAAAAAATATATACTCTAAATAATTGAAATATAATGATGTGATGGCCTCGCCTGTCGCATACGACTTATGTAGTCTATTGGTGAATATATCGGTGGACTGAATACATTTTCTAATATAGAGTGGACGCTTTACCTTTGTTAATTATCGGATTCCTATTGCAAGCGATCAAATTAAATAGTGGAATATATTTATGTATTGTAAGTGGTATGTGCATAGATAGGTATGCATGTATTTAGTTGGTTTATAATTATTTTTTACATCTAAATTAAAGCACACTCATCAGGTTCGCTTGCGAAGGCGTTGTATCCGTTAAGAAGTTCTTAAAATTACCAAATAATTTGACGTTTCATAGCACGGTTAGTCGCACAACGAAATATATTTGAAGAACTTTTTTCTTTTCATGTGGCAACATTAGATCGAAGAATCTGTTCTTAGATCTGTATAGTAAGGATAATGGGGGCAATTTAAAAATGGTTGAGTATCGCCAAGGAGGATGGTTCCATGCACAGAAGTTCACGTACGTGGGGAAATTTTTTGACAGCCATTCATCTGGGAGTGGCCAGAAGTGATTCTTATGAGCACGGTTCGCATCGCAGCTCACAACGTGTGGATATTTATATCGACGTATCCTCTGGTAAGAGACCAAATACCCGTTTGGAACTAAAGTGAGAAGGCGCAAAACTTCGCGTGCGCTGGGTTTGGGTCCCGCCACGTTAAAACCCCGCCCAATGAAAAGTAAGAAAAAGCCTCCGATAAGACCCCCTTTTTTGATTACGACCACGGCAAACGTATAGAGGGACTTTGGTTTGAGGGTATTCACCTGGAATATCCGAACCCTTTATGGGGAAAGTGCATATATCCACTACTGGATATTGTAGTAAAATACCAGGCTGACATCATCGCAGTTCAGGAAATGTGATGGACGGGGCACGTAAAAAAAATTGTGTACGATATTTACTACAACATCATAGCAAAATTTAACAGCATATCAGCGTTTCTATGAGTACCTAGAAGAAGTGCATAAGTGCTGTCCCCTCCGCGATCTTAAAATTGTTCTTGGCGACTTTAGCGTCAAAGTGTGCAAATCGCAAATCGGTTCTCACGCGCCTTTTTGCAATGGAGTGCATCAAGGAATACGCCAAAATTTCGACATCGGCATGATGTAGTTACGTCGGATATCCGGGAAGTTTCACTTTCGGCTCTCTACCATGCCAAATCAGACAACCCCTCTTCGTCTGAATAAGTATATGAGCAGTGAGATACCATGTCCCAGTAACTTCGTAGTGGATGTTACCAACCACGCATACAAGCAACTTGAGGAAAAGTGCTACGTAACCCCTTGAGAGATATATGATTCCCTGGCTGAGCGATGAGCTGGAAGGAAGTGGGTACTAGTTTTTCAGCAGAAATTGCTATTTTCAAACACATCCGATGATTGGAATCTCATTGTGCTTTGCGCAATCCACAAAAAAGGAGATACCGTTAGTTGTTCCAATTACTCCATATTATTTAGTTCTTGTGAAACAACTGATTGGACCTTATAAGTGTAGCTTCAGACGTGAGAAATCCACCATCAAGGCGACTTTCACAGTTTGCCAGATACTGAAGAAGCCATTAGCAGTTCGACATACGCCATTCTTATGTCGATATTTAGTCCCGTTTCGATGAAAAGAAAGTGAGTTGTTACAGGAATGAAATGCATGTCTAATAATAATTTCTTGTCATCGAAAAAGGAATACGACTATGTAGAGTGAGATTGAATATACTGAGTGGAACGAGGCGCAGAGCGCTGGGGCAGAGATCTGTACCCAAATGTATTTGCAATGATCCAATATAGTACGCCACCACTACCAGTGCTGAGGAGTTTCTAGGGCTGAACGCTATCGTATTCCCAACACTGAGCCCGGGCTCACACATTGTTGAATTTTTATTGATGGTTTCAAAACTGACCAGCATTTGGTGTCCATATCGAAAGTAATTGCGACGGGCTTCACTTTTATCTAGGCATCTTCCCTCCGTCAAATGCAATACCACGTATAAGGAGGCATAAATATGCATTTATTTTGGTTAAACTATCTCAATGCTTCCGTACTTCACAAATTATAGTAGAATAATTATAGTAGAAGCTCGTATTTTGTTTGCTAAGTTAGAAAACTATCCAAAAGTTTTGAAGAAAATAACTTTCTTTAGTCGTTTGTGAAATTTTCACACTATCTTATATGTAAGTATGTATGTGGTATTGCATTTAGCGTATGCACGGTATTGCGCCTCAAGCGAACATTTACAGTACCCAAGATCATGGACTATGGTTTGAGGGTATGCACCTGGAATATGCGGACCCTTTATACCAGGTGGAAAATAGGTATACGTGTTCTGTAATCTCAGCCAAGCCATCCTTAAAACATTGGCCAACCCACTAACTATTTCCTAACAAATGCTGAAATTCAAGCTCAATTAATTTTTGTTGGAAAATATAACGCGCTTGTTTCACTATGAGCAGAAATTTGCATCAGCTAGATTTTAAAAATAACACATAGTACATATATCTGAACAGAGTTTAAATGTATAATTGAAATGTGAATTTCTCTAAAATCTTTTAGCTCTTTTTTTGTTCAGTTTTTACTTTTTAAAAATAATTCTTTTATTTCAGGGTATTCCTGTCACGCAGAATGTCTCGTGGGGCATCATCATTTCTACTCGTTCGCTTGTTCTACAACGTGTTGCACGCGTACATGCTGGTTTCTATGCGTGTGCAGCGGCCAACGACCGCGGCGAGACACAAAGTTCAATGGTGAATTTGCGAATACGCTGTAAGTGCCAATCACACAATCACTATTACGATATATATATATAGAATTTAAAATTTTCTGTCGTGCGTATTCTAGTTCTTATTCATAATTTGCATAAATGCGTTAAAGTGATTGCAAAAATGTAAATTTACCTAGTTACCATTGAAGAGTTACAAACGAATAGGTATGCCTCTATTTGAAATATCACACAATTTTTGGTTGTATTGCAATCGATTGGAAAGTGTCACATTAAAATGCATGTAACACTATTTAATACGGCCAAATGAACAGTGTGGTGACATGTTCGTTTGCATTTTAGCACAGCTATTAGACTCGATTAGGCGACGGCGCATACAATGTGAATGCCATCAGCAATAAATTTTCCTCTCACAATAGATATTTGTTTCAGGGCGAGTGTGTTTATTTTGTACATGTGTATGTATGTATGTTGTATGGGCCGTGAGCTCAGCTATATGGCCAACCAGCGAATGCAATAAAGGGTCAGTGACATGTACTGTAATTGCGAACGTTTGCTTCCTAGAGAACGTGTACGGGTTGAGGACGAATTTACCAACCAAATATTTCGAATTCAAATTAATATGATTTTTTTTTTATGAATGTATGTAGTTATATGTATAGATACATAAATATTTACATACATATGTATGTAGTTATGCATGTAGCTTTGATTACTCTTGCTGACTTTCGCAAATCTAAAAAACCAAACTAACCCAGTAACAGTGAGGGTTACTATGTAGTAAATTAATTTTCGCTACTTTTTAAGGGCATTAAAATAATAACTATCGTCGCCCGCTTGCCAGAAACTTGAATATGTAAAAATGAAAGTTTTGGGAAATCAAGTTTGAAATTTTTTTTTACGAGTCTTAGCTCTACATTTATGCAATTTAAATTGGAAAATATGTGATTTCCTTGTACGCATAGTATTGTGGGTTTTGGTATAACATAGAACATCCAAATGTTAATCAAGTCAACCCAGCTCAACTCAAAACTGATAAATTTGCACATTCGTGCTTCAGGCATAAGAAGGGTGACGACGATATGTACATAAATATACATATGCTCGCGCATTTAAATTTGTACATATATGTAATCACATAGGAAATTTTAACAAACGTTTTCATCGACTCGTTGTTGCATATCACGGATGTGGCAATAATGTGTCATTTCGAGAGTAAAATGCATTATTTTGCAAAATGACAGCGTTAATATTAGAATTTTCTGATTTTCCACCACACTAACCAAATGCTGCAGGAAACAATTACAACAATAGCAACAAAATTACGCACATGCATACAATTTTGAGTTGAATTTGTTGTTTGAATAATAATATATTAAAAATATAAATAATATAAGAGCATCAAATTGCAAAAACTACATTTGAATACAAAATTTGAATTATCAATTTAGACAAATGTGTTTTTGGTGGCTTTGCATGCCCTGTAGCGAAAAATGCTGGGCATTATGTAATGACTTTTCTGGTTTTTGATGTACTTGAATGAGTAATGATTGAGTAAAAACAGATTATCTATTTCGTTATTGTATGTCCATTACCTGCTTTGTATATTGTTCTAAGATTACATACCTTTAAAATTACCGTGAAATGTAAAGTTTATCAATTTTTGTGTGTGTTTTTCCTAAAACTGTTAACTCTTTAAAAAAGTTTTAAGTGTATTTTTCGGTTCTTGCTGCCGTGGAAATTGATTCCTTGACGCAAGAACAGCAAACAAAATATGTTTAGAGCTTTTTAAAAATTTCTTTGCCTACAGTTTTGGTGTCAAAATGGTGAAATCCATGTACTTTTGAAAGTCATCCTTAAGGACAAGGTAATTTTTCTTGGAAAGGGACTACTTTTCCTGAATTCTACATCTCAAAAGCTTTAAAATAACGTAACATCTAGTATTTTGCTATTTATTCTCTTTCTCGAGATATTAAATTTGATCTCAAAAATGTCCCTTTTGCACACTGTGTGGTGTCCGGTAATATTTTTATTTGGTAACTTCTCATAATTTTATAATTTACCAAAAACTTATATAGTTGTCTTTTAAAAGTAAGTAAATATTTGACTCCCATACCCTTTAAAGTGTTGCTCTGCGTACGATCTAGTGTGAATGTGTGTTGTTGTCAGGCATGGTTTCCTGTAATAAGTATTTAAAAAGGGTAATTTTGATGTTGAGTGAAGCAGTCATTTTCTGCGACGCACAATGGGGCCGCTACATAGAGGGCGATGCTCAAAACTCATTTTTCGGAAGTTGGTATTTAAAATACAAAATATGTACCAGCACAGTCATAACAAAGCGCATTATTAAAGGATGTTTTATAATATTTAAGGTTACTATTAGGTTAGAAGGAACTATGCTGTTGGAGAAACAATGTGTGTTGATTGTTTTACAACTTTTCATTATTACACATACGATTTCATTGGTTTCTGAGGTATAAGGAATAATAAATTATTTTTTTTTCATGGGGAGCGGTTCAATACGCCTTTCCCCAAAATGCGTAAGGTTTTTTCTCTAGGTCTTTTTTAGTTATAACCGTTAGACTTTATTTATAAGTAAACTTACAAGATTTGCACAAGTACTTTGCCATTTTTTTAGAAAAAATATGTTTTACCGTCTGTATTTATGATTTACTTCCATTCTGATAAATTAAAGTTTAAATTTACGCATTTTGGTATAAATCTGATTAATTGCACCAAAATTCACAAATTTACACCAAGTTATAGATCAGTGTGCTACTTGAATTTTATTCCAGACGTAAACCATTTTTCTATTAAAAATCGGGATTTGTGTAAATTAATATTTAAAAGCCCTTGTAAACTATTAAAAAGCAAGTTCAGCCATGTGGAAGAATATATTTCAAACCGCAGCTGTCTAGCCTCAAAAAGAAAGAAGCTGCAACAATATTTTGGACAATTTCAAGAGTAGCGCTACTTAAATTAAATATATGCGCTAGACACAAAAACAATTTTTTTGAATCCGAAAAAGACGGATGTGAAAAACTGGAAAACAATATCCAATGGATTTAAAAAAGATAATATAAATTTCAAGTCTCTGTGTTTTGATACTGCGGAACCGTGTTTACCGCCTTTATCCCTGGAAAACAGTGACAACAACAGTGGACCAAATTTTAATGCATAGTGTCGAATTTATATTGAATTTCCTTTCACCGATTTAACAATTAAGTGAAGAGGCATAGGCATGGCGAACCAAATAATTTAAAGGTTATCGTGAACGGTTTAGCCGAAAAACTTTAAGGCAAGCTAAACTTGAAGATGTATTTCCCCGTCCAAATGTTTTTTCCGATCCTCTTATTACAAGTATTTACAAACCGTAAGAAACAACATTTGGTCCAGAAGTAAAAGGCATGCTAAAGAAGAGAATTCTGAGCATACACCAACTGAATCTCATCCCTATGAAGACGAATTGAATTTTCATCATGCATTGTACCGTTTTCACATTGTCTCTACTTCAAGTAATCTTAATGGCCCATTACCATCATTGTAATTTTTCTTAGAGCTAGGGGATTATTAAATATGGTAAGGAAATGGTAATTGCCACGCCAGTTATTTCTTTTCTGCACCAGTTATTTCTTTTCTGTACTAACACACGCCAATAGGAAATGTCAAGTGAAGTCAAGCGCTTCTCCGTCGCCGAGGCGGTCTTCCTCTTGCCCTGTCCCACGATCCCAGCATCACGATCCGTATTGTATATTTACATAGCTGGAACATTTCCATCCGACGACATGCATTAAGTTTTTCCTTTTATTTTCTATATTTTTGTAAATTTTGTGGATCGTTATTAACTGGTTGTTCGAAAACGGGTTAAAAACCTGAACACAAAATCGATTCCAATATTTCACGCACAAGGGCAGACTTTTGAAAGTAATTTACATAAATAAATAGCAGTCTCCTATGAGCTACGAATTATCCGTGATTAAATTAAAAAAACTAAAAAAATAATAATAATTACAACACGTTCAACAGTGGATGTTTTGCCGGAAATTTGGCCATATTTAACATAGCGATACGTTTCTCTTACTACTCAGAAGCTTAGAGTTTAGGTTTCCGAGCAAATGGCATGCGGCTTTCAACTTAACGCGCTTACATACATACTATGTTCATCCAATGAAAATACATACAATTTTCCACTTAACTCATCCGTAGTTCGAGTCAACCTGCCACCAGTTAGCTTTAACAAATAACGTAAAAGCAGAATATTTAATAAAACCATTGCGAAATTTTATGTAAAACCTGAAATAGCTATAAATGTTCTAAAATTTTACAATTAAATTTCAAACTACACAACATGTCATAATTGTAAGCGCACCACACAATGACTCGTTTTAATAATTAATTTTCGTAATTTAGTTTAATTTTTTTTTTATAAAAAAATAGTCTATCCTTTACCGAAAACCGTATAAACGCCAGTTTAAAATTTTGTGCAGTTACTATTGAAGTAAAAAATAATAAATCACAAAATTTCGTGATTTCTAATTAAATTTTATAGAAAGAATTTCAATATGCAGTCATTCAATTGTAGAAAAAAAATTCAACTTTAAATTAGGTTTCCCAAAAAGTTGTGAAATTCATTTTTGTAGCCCATTTAATTTTTGGTATAGCAAAGTGGGATTTGAAAGAATTAAGATTTACCGTTGATCTTTGGCAAATTCTTTTGTTGACGGTGATGTAAGTTCGACTATGAACCTTTCTAGGAAATTTAACTAATAGCCAATAATCACCAGTAATTTAAAAGAAAAATTATTTTTTTTTTCCTGTCAACTTCCATATAATTAAAATCATTTTTGACTTAAATTGCTTTCGTAAAATTGGCTGTAAAAATCTGATTTTTTTACCATAAAGAAGAAGAATAAACTATATTTTTATAAATAATAACTAGAACTAAATAGCCAAAAAATATATATATATATTGTCAAAACTTGTAAATATGTGGTGCGCATATAATTGTGACACGGAGTGTATGTACATTTGTATATGGCAAACCAACCAACAGCTAACTAATTTACAACGAAGAAATTAAATTCAAATATTAAAACAAACAACTGCAAAATTTTAAAACGCTTGGGAAAATAATTTCGTTAGCCTCGGCTCAACGGAATGAACTAATTAGTATTTGAAAATATAATTAGTAAAGAAAATTGCTAATATTTATTTAATTATTCAAATAGTGAAAGGGAAATAAAATTAAATAAAAAAACAACAATCCAGATGCTGTTTGATTTTAAAATGGTGTCAATAAGCTACATAATTGTTGCAAATGAAATTATTAGCACCTGAACTTTTGCTAATATGTAAAATTTTAGCAAAAGATACGAATTTGACAGCAGTTTAAAGCCAAAATAAGGCAACAATCTGCTATAAGACACCGACTACCCACAGTAACTATAAGTACTTAAAACAGCACTTTTAGAAAACTAGGCTTATTCCTCCACTTACAACATTCTCACTACGTATTATTGATACTCATACGCCGTGTAGTACAAAAATATAAATATTTGCATAACATATCGGGTCATCCAAGCATTACACGAAAGAGCGAAAATCGGCTTTATTTCTATATACATGGCGACGTCGCGCAATCAACACTAGTCAGATTAAATACATAGATAACTATTAAGTGTGCACTTTTGTTAGCTTTCCTTTTTTGTAGAGTCGTTCAGGCGCATCTGCACACTTACATACGTACCTACAAAGTAG